TCACAATTACGGAACGATTTACGACAAATTGTTTCCGAAAAAGAATTTTTTTTCTCTTTCATTTCGTTTGAAGAAGTGGTTCGTCGGGTCGAATATGGCAAAGATTATGAAGTTATCAGCACTGTTGCAAAGTTAGAAAAGGTAGAGCCGTGAAGATTTGATTTTATTAGATTTAAAAAAAAGTATTTCCGCCAAACCTTAGAAAAAAATGCCTTTTTGAATGAATTGATTTTTGTAGAGGAAGAACAAGTAACAGAATTCTTTCTTCATCTTGACTCGCTATTAAATTCAATAAGACGAGAAGAAAGTAGTAAGGAAATTCAGAAAATTTGAGAACCTTTTGATGAAAAATTTCTTGAACAATACGAAAAAGAACGGGAAAAGATAGAGTCATTAGAGTATGAAAAATTGAAAGCGGCAAGAAGAAATTCCATCACGGAGATAGATAATCTGTTAACCCCAGAAGAACAAGAAATTGTTCTTTCCCACCAAATCCAAATAAATATTCCTTATTTGAAAATTTTACCTACCTATTGTAGTTGCGAAATACCTCCTAATTACATAATTACTTTTTTTGGACGGGATTTTTTTAATCGAAAAAAGAATTTTGTTGGCGGCTATTATCATACACGCGAACAAATTCACTACAATCATATAAATTGTTGTCTAAAAACACCGGGGCAAATCAACGAATTCAAAAATCGAGTTATTGCAGCCATTCAAAAGGAAAGACCTATATTTAGTGAAACCATAAAGTCCATAATAATAAGTAAAGAAGAAGAAAAAGCCAAAAAGAAAAAACTTGAAGAACTTGAAAAAGCCAAAAAATTGCTTATACAGAAAGAAATTCAAAGATTAAAAACCCAAAACTACATAGGAAAAATCATCACAATTCTTATTTTCGCAATACTAGGAATAATGACTATTGAAAAACTTTTTTGGAAAAAGACAAAAATAATTAAACAGAGTAAGAAAAATAACTATTAATCCATTCCAGTAATTTATTTTTTTCGACCACAAACTCTTGACTTTTTTGACAGTCTTTAACTTTTATCTCTTCATGAAGTAAGATTAATAATCGGGGTTGATAATAAGCAATAATCTGGGGGATATTAGGCTTGGTTTTCAGTTCTAAATTATAATCAACTAAAAAATTTTTTTCCAATTCTTTTTTTCAAACTAAAATATCGGGTCAAAAATCTGAATTAAAATTTAAGAAAAAAATATCGATTCCTTTATTGATCTTCAATAAATGTTTTTCCTCGTAGTAATTTACTAACCGGTCAATTCCCACTGCAAATCCGATTGCTGGTAAATTAACTCCACTTAGTTCTTGGGCTAAGCGGTCATAACGGCCACCCCCCACCAGAGACTTTTCCGCTCCCAAATTAATTTCAAAAACCAATCCCGTGTAATAATCCAAGCCCCGCACTAAATGATTATCGTATTGGAAAGGAAAATTGTTGGTTTCTAAAATTTGTTTAAGTTGCTGCCAATAATCGTTATCTTTTTCACTTCAAGCAGTTTGGTAATTAGGAAAGGTGCTTTTTCCCCCACATGAGTTGCAATCCAGTATCCGTAATGGATTATCATTAATTCTTCGTTGACAGTCAGAGCATAAATTAGGTGTATTTTGTGCTAAAAATTTTTTTAACTCTTGCTTGTACTTTTCTTGGGTTTTCTTATCTCCTAAGTAGTTTAAATTACAAGTAAACTGTTTAATGCCTCAACTCTCTAAAATGTCCTGGATTAGTTTTAATATCTGGTAGTCTGCCATAACTCCCGCCACGTTAACTAACTCTACTCCTAATTGCCAAAATTCCCGGTAACGGCCCTGCTGTGGCCGTTCGTAGCGGAACATGTTGGCTCAATAATAGAATTTCAGCGGATAGCCGGTGGTAAAGAGACGGTTTTGGAGAATAAGCCGTATTGCCCCAACCGTTCCTTCTGGTCGTAACGCTAAATTTCGCCCCTTGCGGTCCGTGAAATTAAACATTTCTTTATGAATAATGTCAGTAGTTGAACCCAATGAAGTATTAAACAATTCTGTGTATTCGTAAGTAGGAATGATAATTGGTTGAAAATTGTTTTGGCTCAGAATCATTTCCACCAGTTGCCGTATTTTTTGGTAAGCAAGAGATTTAGGAGGATAAATATCGCGCGTGCCTTTCGGACGATTATTTATTTTCATTTTCTTTACTTAATTTAAACATTTGGTGGAAAAAATTCACCACTTATCCGTAAGAAACGCAAAGAATTTTTAAGAAAGTAAACACGGCAGAGATCTGTTAATTTAATGCTATGGCTTGCGAAAGAACTGAATTTTTCTCGTAATTTCAATTTGAAAAATAAATAATTATAATATTGTAAATATGTCTCGCTCCTTAAAAAAGCCTTTATACGTTAATGAAAAAATCCAAGTTAAGGTGGAAAAAGCCAATCAGTTAGGAAAAAAAATAGTCTTTAAGGTTTGGGATAGGGCTTCAACTATTACTCCGGAAATGATTGACCACACTCTCCTTATTCATAATGGGAAAAATTTTCTTAGTCGTAAGGTTACTCAAGGTATGGTGAAGCACAAAATTGGGGAATTTGCCCCCAGCCGTAAAAAGGGTGAGCATGGTAAGGCCGGCAGCAAACACTAAATTTATCTCATTAAGATTTATGTCTGAAAAACAGTATTAATGAAAATTAATAATGTATGATTTGGTGAAAAATCCAAAAATGATGAGAAAAGCGACAACTAACCAAAGAAGAAAAACAATTAGCTGAGTGAATATCCAGCCCTCGAAACTACTCGCTACTTGTCGCAAATAAAAATCAAGGGATAAAATCATGCCAGAAAAAAACTATTATGAAACACTAGGTATAGAACGAAACACTAGTGAAAGGCAGATTGCTCGGGCTTGTGCAGAATATGTTCGTGAAACAAAGTTGTTTCGTGATCTTGGAGGGATTAGTGATAAATCAAGAGCAATTGTTATTGATCAAAGATTAAAACTTCTTACAATTGTTCACGTCCTTTCTGATCCCAAAAAAAGAAAAAGATATGATGAATACTTGAATAAATTTGGGAATGACGAACAGTTTGAGCCAGATTTTGACGTCAATAACGTAAATAATTGGCCTCCCGCTCGAGAAAAAATTAACGAATGAATTCGCCAAGAAAGGTTAGACTTTCAACTTGAGCAGTCGTTGGGGGAAAAAAAGTAGTGTTGCAAGAAATTGCTAGAACTACTAACGAATGAAATTGTGAAGTTTGTCACAAAACCTACGAGAAGTTGATTGTTCTTTCCGGAGATGAGCCTCAACCAAAAATCTGCCTTATCTGCTTTGTTTACGTGCAAGGTCAAGAGTCGATTACCAAAAAGAGAAGAGATAAAGATAAACTTGAGATCTTTGATTTCAAAGTAGTAAAAATGATTGAAGAAATGTGAGAAAGAGTTCCTCTCTTTGGATTGGTTCCTGTTTCTGAATTCGAAAAAATGATTGAAGAACTTTACAAAAAGGAGAAAGGTAATTTTTTTACAAGATGATTCGTGAAGAAAAAATAGAAATTGTGCTAAAATTTTCTTCTATATATTCTCTTCAATATAAACAAAGAAAAAGCCAAATGCCGATAATGCGAGAAAGAAATTAAAAAGGTTTATTACAAGAAAAAACTATTCGTTTAGCCTTGTATTTTCATACTACCCCCACTTTTTGAATAAAACTATCTTGAGTTTTAAAGAAGAATTTTTTCTTCAAATCTTTATTATCAATAGTTTTTTCAACATTGAAACTTAATCTCTGTAAATTGGTTTCTACTCTAATAATCTACTCCTCATTTATTTTAGTAATTATAATGGTTTTAGTCCCCGTATTGGGGAGATTTTTAAATATTCAGACTTTCGGGTTTTACCGAGTATTACGAAAAAAATGTAAAACCTTAAATAATTATGCCTTATAAAGATAGAGAGAAGCAACGAGAAGCGGTAAGAAAAAGCGTTCAGAAGTTAAGAGAGAAACAAAAAGGTATTACGCAAACTGGTAATACCTTAAAGTCCGGAATGATAACTCAATTAACTCCGTCTGAGGTTAAAGAAAATTTTTCCGAGTTAGAAAAGAGGCTAGAAATTCTGACCTCAGAAATTAAAAACTTGCGGGAAGAAAATTTGTTCTTTCATTACGAAATTAGCGAGTTTTTAAAAACTCTTCCTAAAATTAGTTTTTCGCCCAATAGAGCGAAAACAAAGAGTAAGAAAAGAAAAAATTCTCTCTCACCCCGAAAGCCAAGAGAAGTTAAAAAGTTGGACCGCAGGACTAGTTAAATATAGTAAAGAATGATGAAAAATTTATAACCAACTTCCGGAACGAAAGGCGAAATTAAAAATTTATCACCAGAAAAAGAAAAATTAAAAGAAGTTTTTATTCTCAACTCCGTAAACACTTAACTTTATCCCGTTTTGGTTTTCCCCAAAATTAGACTTTTTTTCATGTTTACTTTTTCTTCGATTTTTGTCTACATTTATTATTTTAATATATTAGGAAACTATTTCGGGTCTTTTTTTTCCCTTCCCTCTCTCGT